GCGGGCTTCGCCCGCCGCCGTGCAGCCCAATACGTGGCTCAAAAACCTGATTTTTTGGACTTGGAGCAAAATTCTGCACACTTTCACGTGTTTCCATGTTACGACAAGTTGCGCACGGTCTGCTCACATTCAAATACAGTGCTGCCAACAAATGACAGCGTGCAACAAAAAAATCTTTCCTTGCAAGGGCACATTTTCGGCCATAACTCTTGAACGGCCGGTCAGATCGGGACACAATTTTCAGAGAATTTGCAGCTATTAATGCTCTTTCAACTGACGTAGCACTCAATATGAATTTACAAATTCGATTTTCAGCGAATTTTTGGGTAGTCTGCCACCTTAATACTAGCTGAAATATCTGGCCAGCCCAAAATTGTATGCACAGTGAGAACACCGGCCAACTTTCGCAATATTCGTTAGGGGCACGAACATTTGTATTTATAGGGTACTTCTAATCTATTTGTGACAGAATGGCAGAAAAAGATGCGAAAATAGAACAGAGACTAGTCTGCCAGCGGTGCGAAACTACATCTTAAGCCGAGGTCATCATGCTTTAATACTAGCTGAAATATCTGGCCAGCCCAAAATTGTATGCACAGTGCACGCTCTTATGAAAATAACGAAGCATTCCGAAAATATAAAAAATGGCCTGTCCGATGTTTAAGGAGAAATCAAAACAAAACCCAAAAATAGGTCGCCGGTTGAAATCTCGGGCACAGCCCAAATCATCAGTGCACACGCCTAACGAGGATTCCGTGTTCTCAAGCCAGCGCCTTCACTCCAGTAATATGATACGAACGCGTTGATGTGCTCACGTCAACACAACAGGAAGGCACTAAAGAAATTAGGGCTCAAACGGTCACGGTTTTACCCGTAACGGTTAACTGCTAAGCTAACGGTCGGTTTAATGGTTATAACCTATAAGCCACGGCAATCCTGCGGACTCTTTTTTAACCGTACATTTGACTATACGTACTCATTCAAAAAATGTACCCTATTCAGTACAACGCACACATATATATTCTCTTGCATGCTCATTCATACATACTCTCACACCAAGAGACCAGATATGACCGAGTTGACAGCCCAGAAATTGCCTACGCGTGCGACAGCCTGCGAAAGTGCATACTTTGCAAGGACCTGATACTTGACAAATTGACTGAAAAGTTACTGCGTAACCGTTATCTTTATCGGTTAACCGTTAATTCTTCGTAACAGGTCTGCAACCGGTTAATCGGACTAATCGTTTGAGCCCTAATTATAACACTACATTTCCACAAAAGTGACATTACCGGTATACTCAAATGGCCCAACTAATTACTTCTGCGAAAACCAGGCTTACGTAGTATGAAAATCATTTTTTTGGAGAAAATGATGTTTTGTAAAAAGGTTGTGTCGCGTGGACGCTCGAGTGCAGTGAAGTGGAACCAAAGACTCGCTTGTTTGAAGAAGTAGCAGTCATTGCAGGAAGGGTTTCAGCAGTCAGGGAAGTCAAAGGGCTTCCGGTAGGCACCGGCGGATTATGCCGGCATAATTATTGGCATAATTGGGTGGTTGAAAATTTGGAGCATAATTTGGCATCCTTTCGGAGGTAGGAGCATAACCACATGATTGTACCACAGTTCTAGTATGTAGGCTACAGAATTGTATACAATGCACCTGATCAGCGCTAGTGATCTGTTTGGTAAAGGGTTTGGAGGTCATGCAGATATAGTTTTCAGTGAAAAGCAGGGTTTTATGAGGTATCCCGAGGTGGACGAGATAGTGCTGGGTAGTCCGCAAACGGACTCTGCGTACATGTACATTATCCATGTTACGAAGTCGTGACCTCGGGATTTTAGCAGCCGTGGCTGTGCAGGCTATGGATATTTCTCCATCTAAATATAATTAAAAATATCAAGTGAGGTGGTATACGGTTGATGTTCGATGATGATGGAAGGAGAGGTGGAGCTACGAGAGAGATGAGCTGATTATTCGCAGGGTGAGGTTGACATCGGTTGGACGAGAATGACGATTATGAAGACAGTCAGTTGAACATGATAATTTTGAAACGAAAGGTAACTCAAACAAAATTTCGCAATGAAAAATCTTTTTACAAAAGAAGTTGTAGTGAATAGAAGATGCAATATTTTCTCTTTCTTTGTTGATCTCTAGCATGCATGGACACCTTGGTATGGGGATACCCATGTATTTTGTGGGAATTATGGCCACCTGCAAGTACATGTACGAAAAACGCACAATTTTCCAAACTTTGAGGCTCCATAAGTACAACAAAGTGAGTATGTATCCCTGCGTGCCAAAGCATTATATGAGGATTTTGCGAGCATAATGCGAGAATCCATGAAAGCATAATTCCATGATTTCGCGAGCATAATCCGCCGGAGCCTTCCGGTAGAATATTCCCTGCTACTCCCCTAGTCACAACGAAGAGTTTTTGAGCTGATCGAACGGATTCCATTTCCTACACTCATGGATGGCGAAATTTCTGCTCTAGCTGCTGCTTGCGGGAAATGGTGAAGAAATCGTCTCCAGTTAGAGTCGTGATGGCGATAGCGAGGAGAACCTGGACGACATCGATCCAGCCAATCGAAGTACGGAGATACTTGCTGTTTCTGGGCCTGACACAAAGGGAACACGAGCAGCAGAGCTCATACGTTTGCAGCAAGTTCACGAGGAAAAAGGCTTGAAGCGCAGTGTGATAACTGTTTTGAATTGAAGTCCTTTGCTGCTCGGAGTTTCTTCAGATAGGTTACTATTTCCTTCTCCCTAGCCAATGTTTTATCATGTGTTGAAACCGGACCGAGTTCCACAAATTTAGACCCGTCGTCCAGTATGGTGGCCATTTCTGTATTATACTCCATTCGCGTTAAGATAACTGTTGCCCGACCTTTGTCTGGCCGAGTGATGATGATATCATTGTTCTTTTTCAGCTCTGAACGAGCTTTCATGTGTTCGCGGGATAGTGAAAATGTTCTCCGTTCAGCGAGTTTGTCAGCATGTTCCTCGGCTGTAGCACGCAATGTGGCCGTACACACCATTTTCTTTGATTCCGATACCGGTGCAAAACCACCCAATTTCCGATAGAATAATTCAAAATCACAAAGTACTCGCTCTCTCATGTTTGATGTTGGTGGTATGCCGAAATCTACGCCTCTAGATAGTAGCTCCTTTTGAACAGTCGTAAGTGGAATGTTCGCCATGTCAATTATTGTGCTGGTATCAATTGTGATGGAGCCAAAGCGCTTCTTCCGAAGCCACTTGATGTTCTGATCGTATTTGGTGACTAATCGAGTATGTAGCCTATCATCATTCTACGAGATAAGCATGGAGAAACGAAGAAAGTCATGTTGTGACAGGAAGTCCCGCGCCTGGCGGTAGAGGTGTTTAAATGCAGTTCGTGTTTCGTCAATTGTATCCATGGATCTCGCAATGTCATCCTTGATGAAAGTCCTTTCAATTGAAAGGGACTGGTATGCTTTAGCCCGCTGTACCCTCTTCTGGATAGCGCCAGGACAGACACCGAACTCCAAGCATTGTTTGAGAAAAGCAACATTAAACGCAATGCACCTACAAACATAACGCTTGCGAAGCACATTATTCAGACATTCAGTCTGATCGCGAGTGTATCTCCGTTTAAAGTATTTAAATAACCGACGAGGAGACAACAGTCGTAAAATAGCAATGAAAAATATCAATTGTGCACTCATAACCATGTATAAATAATTAAAATGAAACAATTCCAGAACGTTTTCGTGTGACTATCATCAGTGGAACATTGTCACATGTGACGGACAACGCAACCACAATCTACGGCAACACAGTATGACTGTATGAGTTACCTGCGTGCGTATGGGGAGTGCTGCATAGCAGACCTGGTGAGAAGGCAGAAATGCCTGTTCACTTGGTGATGTAAAATAAAATAAACAAACAAACAAGACTAGACATTGGGAATTCAAAAAGAGGGCCAAAAGTTTACAAGTTATCCGTTTTGTCCAACACTAACGACCGGTTATAAGCAGAATACTGTTGAGTCAAAAATGTGCAACAATTAGCACAAAACTGACTAATGAGATCATGACATTCAACCAACTGATGCTTAGTTGCATCACGTCTAGAATGCGCAAACCAGCAGCCTTCCAACTTGGAAGGTTCTAAGTTATGACTGGCTGCTGGTTTGCGCATTCTAGACGTGATCCAGCTAAGCATCAGGTCGTTGAATGTCATGATCTCATCAGTCAGTTTTGTGCTAATTGTTGTGGCACATTTTTGACTCAACAGTATTCTGCTTATAACCGGTCGTTAGTGTTGGACAAAACGGATAACTTGTAAACTTTTGGTCCTCTTTTTCAATTTTAATCCTTGGCTAACTTTGAGTTTAATAGACATTTGGAAGAACGTTATTATGCTGCGTACATTCAAACGCCGGAGATGACAACCCAGTGATGGCAAAGTTTTGCCTAGAAAACGGCTGTAACACTGAGAAGCCACGTGCCATAAGGAAAGATATAGCCACGATGACCTAGACTCAAAGAGAGCGTTGGGGAGAGGGGTGTTGACAGCAGGTGAGACGGCCTAAAAGAAAAGTTCAGCGATCTGACACTGTGACAGGATAGCTGGGGGGCTGTAGGCATGCATGACACTGTGACAGGATAGCTGGGGGGCTGTAGGCATGCACCACACTGCTATAATTATGTAGATCTACATGTGGCGCAGTGACAATGTGAGCGACGTGAGCGACGTGAGGAGACCTGCGCCTGGTTGCCATGGAAAAGCATCAAGAGTACAAATAGGGAAAACCCCGGTGATAAAGAGAATATCCCATCCCGTAGCCAGGATGTCCGGCCCTGGCGCAAGCTTGATGGTTTTGGACCGAATTCTCTGCGCCGGATCAAGTAAACACTATCATAATGTTTTACTTTCAAATGGCCAATACCGGATGCAAAGAAATAAAGAATGATTGTTATAAATTATCATGATCACAATCAATAAGACAAGCTGAATCGACATTTGTGTACACTTTATTCATGCAATGTAAAACGGTCGGGACAATGTGCAATAAAACGATGAAAATATGAAGAAAATAAAGTGTAGAGAAAAAAAGGATTCAAACAAGTTTTCGTACAACACTCGTCAGGAATCGTCGTTGTACTGAACGACACTGAAACAAAATTGAACTATTATAGAAAATCTAAGTTAGAGAAATAACAGCAGTGAAATTTACATGTGTAAATTAAATTTTAACAACGAAAGCGAGAGCAATAGCGAATGCGTGCGCTAACAATATACTTGCAAATGAAAAATGAACAAACAAGAGAAAGAAAGTATATGGTCACCTCATACTCGGTTCATAGTGAAGCATCCTTGGTTGTCAAAACCGATCTTCTGCAAGAACAGGCTGTTGGTTGCTTATCATGCGGATACTGATGTACATGTCGTGTACTTCAAAGCAACTGTTATGTACGATGCAGTCAAGCACATCCAGTGTCATTGTGAGAAAGAAAAAAATCTAATCACCGGTATGGAATAAAAAAGAGCAGGATATTTGTCGTTACACTCACATGTATAAAAGGAGGCGCCGCTATTAAATAAAATTCAACAAAAACAACAGAACAAGGATACAGGCGTGCAGAATAAGTAAAAATGTTTAGGAATATTCTCACACGCCCACAGGTCGGTCTTATTCACGCAAAGGCTACGCAGACCTGCAACACTTTCTTCTAGATACAGGGGCAGGCAAGGGGGTAGGGTAGCGTGAGTGAACCATCACCGACTCCTCCTTCGCTAGCATGTTCCTGGGCAAGAAGCGGATGGTTGGACAACGGTAAAGAGAACATATGATTACTACAGAATAAAGAATAAAATAATGAACAACGTATAGCCCAAGGAGACAGGAGCCGGTGCGTCTGAATAAGGCTTGAAAGTGCTACGTTTCAGCCGGGCCGGCCAGAGCCATGACAATGGTGCCTTTGTATGAAGATTATGTAGGGATCCTCAGGCAAGTTTCATCCAAATTTTTCTATGTATCATTTTTTAAATTATACTTCTGATGTCATCACCTTCAAGCCCTATTAGAGACAGAAAGTCATAATTTTGCACGAGTACTACTTCGAAGTATTTGTTTCGTTGCAGAAGATATAGGCACGAGTTACGAAGCAACTGTCCACAACAGTAACAAGATAATAAGCAGCCAGAAAGCGGGGTAACTGGGCACAAACTCTGATAGGCTACTGAGGAATTCAACCATCTGACACCTAGCTCTGTAGCACATCTCCAGTACCCAAACCAACAGTATTCCAGCTTGGAAGGCTCAAGATTTAGGTAAGACCAAGGAGGGGAAGGTGATCGCAGCAAAAATTTCGAGGCAGCAAAGCAGCACACCACCCAAATTCAGTGGGTCAGAAATCAAAGACAAATACGGAAGGGGAAGCTTTGGGAAATAAAATTGTACAGACGCGGACACCGCCGATATCTAACGGTACTCCTCATGCATGACACTGGTGTGGAGGGAGTTGACTACAGTAACAAGCCTAATATCTTGATACAATGATGGACGGTTACTTCATAACTGGTATCCACGTGTTGACAATGGTATCCACGTGTTCTCTTACAGCAAGAGTACATAATGCCCCAGAGTGTGCAACGCCTGATTCAGCTCTGCATAGGGTCTTGGTCGAGCGGAATTGGATCTTTGCGTCACAATACCGTACACATCTGAAGGGAACCCGGGGAGTCGAGGGTACTCTCGGATCAAAAACAACGGCGCCCTGCCTGGAGACCGGCCTTGCGCTGGTGTGAAGTGTACGCCTGACACCAGAAGATCCGATTACGCTCGACCAAGACCCTATGCAGAGCACACTCTGGGGGTATGTACTCTTGCTTATACTTGAAGTAATTTTCATCTATTTGGCGGGCGGCAGGCATAGTGGGATGGTCTAAGACCATGATTGGGAAATAGAGGGTACCAGGTTCAAGTCCTGCTTGGAAGCGCAAGAATGTTTTCCAACCGTGCTGCGACCCACAATTTATTGGGAACTTGTGGCCTGGTACGAGGGAAACATGGATGCAGTGAATGGGATTTTTGGTCGTTGACCACTTTGTGGTGGGTATCATCTACTCGCCTCCCACCGCTTAGTAGCTGCATCTGCGCCTTAGGGTCGGGTTCCACTGCGGCTTTGTGGCTCCGCTGCTCCGCGGCACTTGGCTTCATGTAGCAGAGCGGCGCGGTCCCACTGACACTCGCCATCCGCAGTACCGCGGTCGTGCTTAACGTGTTTTTGATGACGTTTTACCTGCCTGCGCACGTGAAATCGAAAAGATCTTCGTGTTCAGGCCTGCGCAACGAATTAATTGAATTCTAAAATTCTCATGAAGATGGTTGCGACTTCTAAGTTTAAAATTCTCGCGTATAAAACCATGCAAGTTACGGGTAACTGGCTGAGCCGCGACCGCGGCTCACAGTTATTGTTCAAGCAGTGAAGCGAAAACTCGTGGTGAGATGCGGTCGCGCTGCACCAGCCTGAGCCGCGGTCACTTAGTCTATGGCAACGATGATGTTTCATGCCGAGGATGACATGCAGTGGAGCAGTGGAGCCGCAGTGGAACGGGGCCTTTAGATCTTCGCAGGGTGGTGGGGTTCCTACAGATGCTGAAAACCTAGTCTAGCTGAGTCTCAAGCGAAATGTGAAAATTAAAAACACAACTGTTTTCCACAAAAAATATCCGGATAGGCGAGAGAACCGGATAATCGAACACACATACTGTATGTATGCCCCTTTAATGCACTACCCGCTAGCAATCGATCCCAGCGTACGTTGCCTGCTTTTCGCGCTAGCTGCTACCCAGTAAGTAGGCCATAGGCCTGTTGGGTATACCCAAGTAAAATAATAAAATACCACTTCTACTACTACTACAGTCGTCCCTCTTTAACCCATCACTTTAAAAGCCGGCACAATTTTTAGTTAGCAAAATGTCCTCTTCATGCACATTGTAGCAGTAAATCAGATTTTCTAATCCAGTACCCTCCCTAATCCAGCACCCTCCCTAATCCAGTACCCTCCCTAATCCAGCACCCTCCCTAATCCAGCACCCTCCCTAATCCAGTACCCTCCCTAATCCAGTACCCTCCCTAATCCAGTACCCTCCCTAATCCAGTACCCTCCCTAATCCAGTACCCTCCCTAATCCAGCACCCTCCCTAATCCAGCACCCTCCCTAATCCAGCACCCTCCCTAATCCAGCACCCTCCCTAATCCAGCACCCTCCCTAATCCAGCACCCTCCCTAATCCTGCACCCTCCCTAATCCAGCACCCTCCCTAATCCAGCACCCTCCCTAATCCAGCACCCTCCCTAATCCAGTACCCTCCCTAATCCAGCACCCTCGCTAATCCAGCAGAATTTCCGTAGCACAAATGATGCCGGATTATATAGGGACCACTGTACTACCACTGTAGAAAGGAAAAGGACATAATTTTAGATACGAGTTGAGTGTAACTGGCCACCACTGTAACTACATACTATAATATTATACAGTCAGAATGTGCATCAACTAGGCACAAAATTGACAGAGTACCGAGTTTCAAACTACTACTACAACTATTTTACTATTCTTTTTAGAAAATTGGGTGTTTTTCGCATACGTTCATTTGCTGTTGCTTTATGCTTTCTTTTTGATGGTTTCTGTTGCTCATTTTGGATTGAAATAAGGACGATTCGTCTACTATGTATGCATGGCATATGCTGTAAATCGGGAACCAACAATTTACTTCCGGATGGCGAGGGATCCGGATCAAAAAGGAGCAATGGATAAACGAGGTCTGAGGTACATGTAGTGGGGATGACGATGGCCTCCAGCAGCCCGGGTGGAGATCGGAAACAGCACCTACTGTATCAGAACAGAACAGACTTCAGCCACGCCGATGCCTGACCTTCCGCTTGTCGCCATGTAGAGACCAATATCACCAAATGTCTCACCAAAGGTCTGAAGAACAATAGCAAAACAAAGCCAAAGAAATGCTTTAATGCCGAAGAATAATGCTGTACAGCAGAGCAACGAGAGAGCTTGGAAGCTCAGGGCCCTACGCTATGCTTTTTTGCCTTGATGACCTAGACAAAAAAAAGCACAGGGATGTTTTAAATTCTTTAAAAATATCTTTTTTTAAGACATAACGTGGGATTCGAACCCGCACTATCGCGCGCCCTGCATGCATCCCCCGATACACTTCGCATACATACTAATTCTTCCAAGTTGTTTCACATTGTGATCTTGCATTTGAAAGCCCTATTTGAATATGCATTGTGGCCAGCCGTCTTTGATGGCACGGTACGGTAGGGGATAGGTACGGGACAGGTACGATCGAGGGTAATACGACTTCGTCTAGCTGCCCGCACTATTCAAATAGGGCTTTCAAACGCAAGATAATAACGTGACGCAACTTGGAAGAATGGGTATGAATGCGAAGTGTATGGGGGAATGCATGTAGGGCGATAGTGCGGGTTCGAATCCCAGGATATGCCTGAAAAAATAGGAGAATTGAAAAATTTATAACATCCTATGCTTTTTTGCCTTCAGATACGGATAGCGCCAGGTGTGACACAAACAAACAAACACACAAACAAACAAATACCAAACGAGAGAGCTTGGAAGCTCAGGGCCCTGCGCTATGCTTTTTTGCCTTGACCTAGACAAAAAAAAGCATAGGGATGTTTTCTTAAAAAAAATCCTTTTTTTAAACCTGGGATTCGAACCCGCACTATCGCGCGCCCTGCATGCAGCCCCCGATACACTTCGCATACATACTAATTCTTCCAAGTTGTTTCACATTGTGATCTTGCATTTGAAAGCCCTATTTGAATATGCATTGTGGCCAGCCATCTTTGATGGCACGGTACGGTAGGGAATAGGTACGGGACAGGTACGATCGAGGGTAATACGACACCGTCTAGCTGCCTTCAATATTCAAATAGGGCTTTCAAACGCAAGATTAACGTGAAGCAACTTGGAAGAATGGGTATGAATGCGAAGTGTATGGGGGAATGCATGTAGGGCGATAGTGCGGGTTCGAATCCCAGGATATGCCTGAAAAAAAAGGAGAATTGAAAAATTTATAACATCCTATGCTTTTTTGCCGTCAGATACGGATAGCGCCAGGCGTGACACAAACAAACAAACAAACACACAAACAAACAAATACCAAATTAAAGCTGTGTGGACCCTGGCTAGCGCCAGACGTTACTGAAGTAACGTCTTCTGCATAGCTACGGGAATTAAAGCTGTGTGGACCCTGGCTAGCGCCAGACGTTACTGAAGTAACGTCTTCTGCATAGCTACGGGAATAAATGATTATTGGAGTGATACAATTTTACAAAAAGGTGCTGAAAAAACGAGCGGGAACAAATGCATTCCAACCGGGACGGGAGGTCAGGCAGCATAGCAGCACGTACAACCGGACGCCTGTAACGCCACACATAAATAAGGAAACCCAAAATGGGCGCGCAAGCAGCACTTACATTGGCGATCTTCTGGCCCTCTCTGTCTGTCACTTTCTTGTGATGCTGATGGCTACCTTCGACCAAATCAATCTTGTTTGCCAGGACGGCAACTGTCACATGTGAGGCGCAGGTGTTCTGAAAAGACGATGTGCACAAACATCAAGCGTGAGGAGCCCGGGTACAAGGGAAATATAGTATTTTTATGGTCGGGGTTGTTATTCATGAGGGCCGCCGGACTTCTAGTTCTCACTCATTCCTACCTTATCAATTGACAAGTTACTCATTCTTCCTGTCTTGTTGATGACAAAATTGCTTGTCCGGCACCAACAATCTGTTGAGATACTAGAAGAAAATTCTGATCGGCTTTTGGAAACCCGGTTTTTGCCGGATTAAGGCTCAAACACGGACTTTAAATCAAAGTACTCGGCTTTGGACCAGCTTCTCCATACAAGGTCCTCGCACATCAGTCAAACCTAGTTGCACTCTGCGTTACGCTTTCCATTTCCGTTTCCCATTTCCCTTGCTGTAAACTCAAGGCGGGTACTCTCGCACGAGTACTTTACATCACTATTTACCTGTACAATGGCGTGCCAATCTTTCAGGTTCTCGAACGTCTCCCTTCGTGTGCAGTCGTACAGGAAGAACACGCCATCCATTGGTCGCAGGTAGGTCCTCAAGAACACACGGTGCCTACAGAAAGGGAGAGATTCCAGTTAGAGCGAAGTCGGCAGTCAAAATCATAGTGGGATGGTCCGCTAAGGCCACAGGCAGGTAGCAGAGGCCACCATGCTCAAGTCCTACTCAGAAGCGGAAGGATGTTTTCAACCGTACTGCATACTGGGTATATTGGAACTCGTGACTAAGCGCGAGGGAAACATGACTACCATTAAAAAATTTAAATAGAGCAGCCGATGTACACTAAGTGTATATTTGTATACACAATTCGGAGAGGTTAGCTGCTAAATAAGCGAGACGTGTTGACCCCACCAGGACTCGAACCTGGGACCAATGGTACTCTTGCTATGACCTTACTTGCCATGAGCTATGCTCTCCTAGCCGAACCAAGCTGGAGGCACTGAAAGCATTTTCACTGCAGTCTGACATACATGTGTCGTCTTGAACTACAACGGGGACAAGACGAGAAGGTGTGCATACGAAGGGGACAGAAGACGGTACAGCCGCATGTACCAAGCATTCCAAGACAGCGCAGCAGCGTGTACAACGAGTCAGCATCATGTACGACAAAGAGACACAAACGCAGCAGCATGTACGACAAAGAGACACAAACGCAGCCGCATGTACGACAAAGAGCTACACGCGCAGCCTCATGTACAACAAAGAGCTACAAGTGCAACCACATGTACAACACATGTATGCACCACACTGGGCTCCCGTAGCCCGGCCCGCTCTTCTCCTTGGTGAGTCCTGTTGGCCATTTTGTCGTGACCGGTTGACTTAGCTGTCAAATGCATGTTGAAGAATCCAACCAAAGCGTGGTGATTCATACAGCTGAATTTGGTGGTTACTTTCTAGGAGCACTTACTTTTCTTCTCCAGCCGTATCATAGACCTGCAAACCAATCTTCTTGCCATTAAATGCATGTCCCATGAACTCAAAGTCGAGGCCTAGGCACGCAGGCAGGAGCAAAATCACACCGATATAACGATTATATATTAGTCGAGGGAATGGGAAAGGGAAAAAGAGTCTGAAGAGAATATTGACTGTCACCACCAACCAGGGACCCTCGCTTGAGGCCAGCGATGCTTTAACGATTTTTATAATAATACAGTGTATACAACTTTATAACGTAGCGCCCTTCCTGCAACAGTAGCACCCCGAGGTGATGCCAACTCTCACCAAGCCCCCAATGACAAGGCTGGCATTCTGCCTGTATTTTCCTCTGCCTTGCGGACCGGCAGCGCCTTGGCTGGTGTCATAATATCCCCAAGCGCCTTGGCCGGTGTCATGATATCCCCAAGCTCCTTGGCCGGTGTCATGATATCCCCAAGCGCCTTGGCCGGTGTCATAATATCCCCAAGCGCCTTGGCCGGTGTCATAATATCCCCAAGCGCCTTGGCCGGTGTCATAATATCCCCAAGCGCCTTGGCCGGTGTCATAATATCCCCAAGCGCCTTGGCCGATTTCATGATAACCCCAAGCGCCTTGGCCGGTTTCATGATATCCCCAAGCGCCTTGGCCGATTTCATGATATCCCCAAGCGCCTTGGCCGATTTCATGATAACCCCAAGCGCCTTGGCCGATTTCATGATAACCCCAAGCGCCTTGGCCGATTTCATGATAACCCCAAGCGCCTTGGCCGATTTCATGATATCCCCATGCCCTCCGCATAGTACTCTACTGATCACATACACTGCCTTCATAATACCACCATGCTACCTGCTCAAACAGCAATCTGGATCCATAAGTGCTGTGCCAAGTACTAGTTATGGCGCTGCTCATGCTCAGACCGCCCCGGCTTCTAAACCGGTGTCAACGGAGCGACCTATACTTCTGTCACAATCCACACTGGCTGACTTTTCGTCCTGGCTGGAGGCCTGGAACAATTTCGCTCGTTGCCAACATCTGGCAAGCCAAAGTCGTTCACCAAAATTGGCAGCATTTTGCCAGTCCCTGGATGAGGACCTCTGACAGTTTAACAGGCAAGGTTTCATTCACATCCCGGATTCTGTCGATGTGGCAGCCGCGGTGGACATTCCATATGCCCTCATCCGTCGCCAACGCAATCCTCTCCTGGACCAGATTGATTTCTACCGTCGGGCGCAGTCGTTTGATAGTTTCTAAAAGTCGTTGTGTGAGTTGTTGCATGCTTGTGCGTTCTCCCAGACTGCACTTTGTGCTCAATGCTCCCCACGCATTTGTGGCAACTGCAAGTTGTCTCTCATGAAGGTCAATGCTGACATTCGCCACAACTGTCGTCAGGCACAATCTGCTGGTACTTTTGCTCACCTCACAAAGATTCACCTAGGGTTCCCTGTAACAAGGTCATGCCTGTTGGGACTCCCCTAGTCAAATAGCAAATACTACTACAGACTTGTAGCTGGGATCCTCAGTGATGAGACTCATCACAAGTTGTTGCCGTCAATGACCTGACATTGGCTGATGCCGTCAAGCTATGTCGTGTTGAAGAAGCCGCCAGTGTCACTTCAAGTTGACCAAAACGAACGCAGCATAAGTATGGATGATGAACCCAGGTTTCAAAGTTTTCTTCTATAAGGCCACAGTTTGTTTTTTTCTATGTTTCTCGTCACCGCCCGCGTAGGTTGTCAGAAATTTCGGAAGAAGAAAAAAGTTCATGCTTCTACGTGTACGTGTATGTACGCTGCACATGCTGCAGCAGCTAGATGCGTCAATCAAAATCGTAAATGTTTGCACCACAGAAGCAAAGGAGCGTTCCCCGTCTGTTCTCAGCAATGAAGGCTGCCGTAACGAAACTTTCACTCGTTCACTGCCTGAGCCTCGCGGGTCCCAGGAATACCGTAAGTCGGACGAGTTCCGTGGCAACTGGCGTCTGTGGAAACGATGTCGTGGGCAGAAAATCCAAGCAATAGACGCATGGCGAGAAAAAGATGAGCAGCGTGGAGACCAGAGTTTGATAAGCAGACACAAGAACTTTGAAGTAACAAACCAAAAATGACAAGTGAGAAAGCGTTTGTTGATGCGAAAGCAGATAAATGTATGTTCTCTTCGCCTTCTCGTAATCAAACATTATACTCTCAATGTCGCAGTTTGCCTGATATTCACGGCCTGATGTGATAATGTAGTGCAATCATGTACTATGGGACCACATGATTGTACAATGTAGTACTGTGTGCGCAGTGTCTTGTACGAGTTACACATAGAAAATTTATACATTTTTCAGTAGAAATTGTTCTTGTTTTTTCTTGGCTTTTGTTTTTACCCCACCCGCCCGCCCGTATTATTAAAGGAGTAAAATCAAATTTTCACTAGTTATAGTGTTCGGGGTGCTGAGTCGAATGGTCTTGGTCCGAAGAAGCTGAGACGCTCCATTCCTCCTTTATTCCCAATCAAACTCGCGCACTTCCACCGAAACTGGGTGACTGTGCCCTACTAGATGGGGATTTGTATGCAAAATGTCACTAAAAGCGCCATTTCGTTCTAATAAATGCACGGATGACCGCGATTGGCCCATATGTTGTAGTCTTTTGGACGCTGAGTCGACTGGTTTTGGTCCGAGAATGCTGCGATGCAGCGTTCCTCTTTTATTCCCAATCGAACATGGTTGAACAAGCGGTCACGTGCTCCTGCGTACACCAGTCACCTGGTGGTCATCGTTCCAGCCTAGCGCCTGCAGGGTACAACTTACAGCATGTTTGACCTTTTTTGGGTGCACTCCTGTCACTCGAGTTGAACTCGAGTTGAACCTTGGTGTGAAAGTTGTCGCTTGCTGGCGCGGTGACCAGGTGACTTGGGCACGCAGGAGCCCGTGACCGCTTGTTCAACCATGTTTGATTGGGAATAAAGGAGGAACGCTGCATCGCAGCATTCTCGGACCAAAACCAGTCGACTCAACGTCCAAAACTAAAGACTAAAACACATGGGCCAATCGTGGTCATCCGTGCTTTTATTAGAGCGAAGTGGCGCTTTTAGTGACATTTTGTATACAAATCCCCATCTAGTAGGGCGCAGTCACCCAGTTTCGGTGGAAGTGCACGAGTTTGATTGGGAATAAAGGAGGAATGGAGCGTCTCAGCTTCCTCGGACCAAGACCATTCTACTCAGCACCCCGAACACTGCAACTGCTGAAAATTTGATTTTAGGCGTAACTTCCCCATTAATACGAACTTAGAAGTTGCGACTTCGGCGGTGATAGTCATGAAGTTGGTTCCCCATTAATATTGATAATAAGCACTACCGTATTCAAGTCAGTGGATCCATTAGGTCCCCCCACAGGTTCGCTCGTGCCGGATAGATTCAAGTATTAAAGGGGGTAATGATTAGATGATGTTGAGCTACGTGATAAGAGAATAGTTTCCAAAAAGGTACACTCGATGTGACAAGGGCAAATACTGCATGCAAGGCAGTGACCAAATAGTCATGCACGTGGAAATAACACTGAACAGTGCTACGCGTATAATAAGTCCGTTTACTCCTGTAATAGTTAATCTTCTGACTGTAGATGTTGTGATAATGTAATTCGGGCAGAACCACCTTTCGCGTCCGCATACGAAGAGTAGCGGACACCCCCACACCTGCCCGCATACCTTTTGTTAAAATTTGCCGACAAGGAACATAGAAAAAACAAAGTGTGGCCTGATGGGTGAAGTGCGTACTGTCACATGACCTCTATACATATACAAGCATACGCAATGTACAGTCATGCTCGCACTGAGTGTACTAGAGGTGGTTGCACCTGACAAACATGGGACAAGTTGCCCAGCAAAAATAGACACGTGCGCAATCAGTTCTTCACATACCCACGGTTTGTGAAAGCACTCCGATGTCGCCACCGTCCTTGCCAATGGCTAAGCGGCGAATGAATGTTGACTTGCCAACATATTTATCACCCAAGACAGCAACCCGGAAAATAGTATCCTAAAAAAGGAAAAAAACATAAAATTAATGTGCATCAAAGAGAGCAGAGCTCCGGGAATTTGATGTGATATATTGTCATGGGGCTTCTTTGCCAATACAATTTCAGCTGCTTGGGTATGTTCATTTCAGTGTAGGAATTGGGTAGCCATGTTCTTTAGTGAGAAGGCAGCATTACAACATCCTTGCTGCTCACGAGCTGCTGATGTGAGCCATTCTACAGTGGTTGCGCATCCATTACAATAGTGACCATACAGGACAGCCATGTTGGTTCCAACTCCTTTCGTGCCTTGCTCGGTCACATGATGTCGGTAGCCATGTTGGTTCCACTCACCACATTCCATGATCACTTCCCTCACAAATGAGGTCACATGACAAAGATATGAAACCACTCATTGCAGGGGCATCGTAAGGTATTTCAGGGTGGTACGGTCAGTCACCCGAAGTACTGTGTACTCGAGTGGCTGGGGTGACTCCTCTGAACAAAATCCCAAATTTCGAGCCCAAATCAGTGGATTTCTTTAATTACGTGATACCTGAGAGAAAGAGTGCTACGGTCAATACCATAGTGACCGTAGCATCTCCAACGCCCCTGGTTGCGCTCTGAAATCAGATGGTATAGATAAGGAATCGTCTCTGATATTTGCACACGTCGGCTCCGATGCCATTTTTGTGTATGCTAACAGGGGCTTCCCCATAAACCATGTGCAAGCCGCATTGCATACCATGTCCCCTCTCTTCCTCTGTGCCTGTTTGCTGCGACTCTTACCATTTGTTTTGTGGTCTGGTCATCCTCGGTGTGAAGACGGAATAGCGGCTCTTCAGTTCTCGCTCGTGATTGGCTCTCTTGTTGTTCACTCAGTCTTCGCGTTTTGGCACGATATGATGAATCATAGGACTTGGAATACGTCACCTACAGCAAAGGAATGTTCCAACATGAAAAGGCAAACAAAGGTATTATGTTGGAAATAACTTGCAATGAACTAATGCTTTTTCAAATGTATTGTAAATCGAACTTAGAAAAATCCTTTGTCCATTATCAAAACGACAGTAGCCTCAACGGATTACCCATAAACGATAATTGTTGTTGCTGAAGAGGGTTATTGAACTGAAAGGTGATTTTTGGGAAGAATAGACTGTGATTTTTGAAAGATTTGACGATTGAGAAAGAGAAACCATGGTGAACTGCAATGGTACTTGAGATTGGTCAGGTATTCACACCATTTTCAATTCTTTCTTTCGGAAAGTCATGTTTTCACAGTGGCTAGCTTTTCACATTTCCCCATCTTGGACTTTTTGCATGAATTAATGCACAGGGTGAAGTCAAACAAGCAAATTAGTAAAACATCTCCAGGCACATATTTTGCTGAACATCGTGTAGCTGATCTTTCCGGGTGTTCCAAAGGGAATGTTTACATTTCAGGGAGCGCAGTAAGAATACCAATGGTTAACTGGGTGACCCTAGTACCCTAGTACAACATGAATACATAACACCGTAAGATCAAAAAAGCAAATCATTTACAGCTTGAGTCAGCCAGTGTCACTGACGGCTATACCCAGCCCCGACAAAAGTCAGCGAACACTTGCTTACAGTTGGAGACTGCGTAAATCCGGACTGGTCATTCGAGGAGTCTACAGGGTTATAGCCCACATCAACACCCAAAGATACTGTGCTGTTTCTCTTGCTGTATGCGGCTCGCGAGCCAGTTGAGTCACCCGAAGTTGAGGTTGGCTGCTCAAACATTGACCGAGCCCTCGCGAAGCTCCCCTGCCGTTGTCGCAGAGTATGTCCAGGTAGCGAAGATGAAGGAGATCTTGGAGTGACATGACTGTGCTCACTAGAATCAGATGTAAAACCTGCAAATTAATATCGGTAGATGCAAAACATAAAAC